ACAAACAAGCCAATGTTATTTGAAATTTCACATCAGTACAATAAGGCAGCCAGAAAAAAAAAGACTTCATTAATTTCTGTTATTCTAAAAGAGTTGATTTAAAAAAAAGTAAAATCAACATAACCCATGCTACTCATGAGCATCAATTAGTGATACAAATCTTGGTATATATATATATATATATATATATATATATATAAAAGCTTAAAATTAATTTTCAACCAAAATTTCAACAGAAATTTAAATTCTGAAGATTAACAAAATTAGTAAAATATTTTTCTAAAAAAGTTTGTTTTGTTTAGATAACAATGACGAGCAATCTTAAGAGGTTTTCCAAGGTAGCTTTACTCCAATAATGTAACTGGAGAAATGGGGGTGGACACACACACACACACACACACACAAAATGATAAATATAAACTGATCAAGTGTAAAATTATGAATTTATTCAGAAATCTGAAAATTTTGTCTTCAACACTTTGTACCATAATGATTTCAAGGAAGACAGGTTATATGCATAATAGATGCACACACACATGCACATAATACACATTCATACTGGTACACACTAATGTGTATACACACAATATATGCATATATAATAAATATATTTTGGGTAGTAAATAATACAACTATTACATGATTAGGTATATTAACATATCTGTATCTTATCATGCAACTGTATGCAAAGATTGCATATTCATTGGTCAAATATAAATAAGTGCTAGGCATACATTAAACACATGTATGTAATGAAGGCCAAAAATATCACATGACACTCTCAGGGATTTTCTTATTGAAATGACTATTTCACTTTTTGATGATTTCAATGCAAAGAGAAATGGTCATTTGAGTTTAAATTTCCAAAAGTACTTTGTAAATTCATAAAACATATATTAAGTTAGCTGTGGAAAAATATGTTGGGTATTAAGAATTTTCCTAAGAAGCAAACATTGTTAGAGAATATGTTGAATTCCTGAGTCAACCTATTTTAGCCATGTGATTTATCAGCAGGTCAGGGAAACAAACCAAAATTTTACAATAAAGTTCACACATAATGTTAGAATGTATGCTAAAGGTTTGAAAATGTACAAATGAAAAATTTCATATTAATATAACAACCTTTTTAATAAGGCAAATAAATAGTTTTCAGTTTTTTTTATTCTATCCAGAAAGATTTCAAGACAGAATATTTGAATAAATAAATATTCCCTCTGCTTTTTGTTTTCTTTTGGAGACTTAAACTAAGACTAAAGCCATTGTTGAGTTCATTTACTTGAGAGTGTTCAAATGACAGTGTTGTTGCACAACAGGTGTTTGGAAAAATGTAATGCATAAGCATTGAAATCTTGCATCCAGCATAAATAAAGTCAATGGAGACCAGAAGAGGAAACCAATTTGAAATGAGGCAAAATTTCTTGTTTGAGGAATTCTTTCCAGGCAAAAGTGAAGTTGATTTCTTTCAGTTAGAGACTGACAGATAATTAAATTCTATTGTTCTTTTTGGTTAATTTTAAGTCCAAGTTAATTCATTTTAACTTTTTTGAAATTTCAAATCACACCTTCAATTTTAAGGCAATGTACAATTATTTTCTTGTCAAGCTAAATTTAAAAAATGTAGACATTTTGTAGAAAAAAAAGATTAGATGAATTAGTCTAATGACATACATAAGTTTATGTGAAAAGACAACTATTTGTCACAGATGTGATCTATAGTATAAGTAAACAAAAATAAAACAAATTTCAAAGTTACATTATCTAAAAGCTGCAGCCAATTAATATTAAAATTACATTTCATCATGTTGCAATGAATTCAAAATTAAACCAATATCAGCAAATAAACTTTTGCATACAAAGGAAAGAGATTTTCAAATTAAAGTAGATTCCTTAATAGCAAATCTGCAGTTCATATGCTAATGCAGAGATACAGAATTGAATTTCACAGGGGAAATGATGGGCAGAAAAGATAAAAAAGCAATTTCTTAGAAAAAATCTCCAAAATGAAAAAGAAAAGATAATGCAGCTTTAATTTGGGTAAAATCCTTTTGGAATAATTTTAATCAACCACATTATTTTGAATGAATCTTTGAAACACTGTATCTAACCAATAGGATTTTAAGAAATTAAAATTTAGGTTTTCATTTCACTGGTTAATGATTTAGTTTTGGCAAGGATATTTAATATCATTAATGTACTGGCCAGCAGTAAGAGTTTTTGTTGTTTCAATTTTCTCAAGTATTTTATCCAAGTTAAAAATTGCCATTGTCATAAATTAATCCAGTTCTCTCTCTATAAATATTAAGAAACTCTTTATTTACAGTCAATTTAATATTCTTGATTTAGAGACATACATACATTCCCCATTTTCTGTTCTATGAGCCAAATTTGATCCTAATTTTCTGCTAATATCAGCAAATAATGAACAAGTGCACTTGGAAATCTTGAAGAAATGTCACTACCATAAATTTAGTGCCTACATCTTACAAAATCAGGCCAAAGATGACTGGATTTATTTTAAACAATTATTCTTATGCATCAAGTTCTTTCCTAATGCAGGAGTTTCTAATTTTTGCATATAAACATAATAGAAAAACGCATTTATGATGGCACCAAAATAATTAGGAATGGCAAAGATCAGAAATGTGTAGAGCTTGGGAGTGGGTGTATAGAAAAAAATTTAGTAGCTAAGATTAAATGAGATTAAAATATCTCAAAATATAAGTGAAATATATATATTTGAAATTACTATAAAAGTAAAATGTTTATCACATAAGGTTTGCTGACGCATTATTTTACCTTATTTCAAATTTCATTTTTTTCCCCCCAACTTCTGTCTTTAATTTGAAAACAATATTGTAAGTAGGAATCAAAAATAAAATCATAACCCTGCACCAGCCAAATGAACTGCAATAAATGTGCAGCTGAGAGTAGCACAAAGTGGTTCAAGGAAGGAATTGATATTAGACAGACTGGAGATGATGGGATTCTATAGAGGCCTTCCTGCCTACCTTCTCAACACAACTGACAAAGTTAGTATCACAGCTTAGTTCCGTGCACATGCAAATCATGGGAAAACATCACAGATTACAATCCTCACATTGAAATGAGTTTTCCTTTCTTTTTTCTTTATTATCTTTTCTTTTTTATATATATTTTTAATAATGTTTGTTTATTTTTTTAAAATTAGTTTTCTTTTTAAAACCTGGTCAACTGAATTAAGTTTATAAGGCTACTGTTGTATATTAATAGTGTTAGCATTACTAGTCTGAGGTATGTGGGTGATATCTGTGCTAGGAGTGTCAGATTCAGCAACAGCTACTTCAGTAGCAGCATTGTCATATTTGGGGTTTGGACCATGACAATTTGAAGTCTCTGACTGGTTGCCATCATCACAGCCAATAAGAGGTTGGCATTTACTGCTGTTCTGCATTGAAGCTGAAGACATTTTGTTCAGTGGAATTTCTGGTACAATGCAAAGAACATAATTGTTTCTTTCACCAAGAGAGGAATCATAGTTAATCAAATCCTTAATAGGGACAGGGGGCGAGAATGGTAAAGCAGGAGGCATCAGCTTTAAAGATTTGCTATTAAGCAGTGGCATAGCAGCAACAGACAGTGATTTTCGGCAGTCAGGTGGTGTCTCTAACGAGGTGGTATTGTTAGTGATGGCAATACAAGAAGCAGAAGGTGGAAAGTCCTCATAGAGAATATCACCTTCCATTATCGCTTCAGGTAACACCTCTAGTTCCAATTCACTCTCAAAGTTGAGGGATGTCAAAGCAGTGAATTCATTCTCGCTGCTGGAATTTTCTGGTACTGATGGAGAATTAGCAGTCTCCCCTCTATCTGGCACAGTAGTTTGGCACAGTTTGAGCTTGTCAAAATGTTGCAAAGGCTCAGAAATTTTAGAAATATTTGCAACATCCAAGGAAGATGATGATTTGCCAACTTCTACCTCCATGCAGTCTAAGTTTTCCTTCAATTTTTTTAACTGAGTCAATTCATCAGTCATCACAGTTGTTTTATTAGTAGTGGAGAACAAAGCATCAGTGTTTGTAGAGGAACTCTGGTCACCTGCAGGTACTGCAACTACTGAACAGCCAAGTTGACAAACATTAGGTGGGAAGCCACACTGAACATTTACCAGTTCTACAGGCTGATTATTAAGCATATTAGTATCAACTTTAGTGAAACTGGAAGAAAGACTTGTCTTAGAACTCTCTACACAAGTAGTAGGAAGGATTGCTTGACATGGTTTGTTTAATGGTGTTAAATTTTTAGGTGATGCTATGATCTTATCTGTAAGTAGTGCAGAGTCCATGCTTGGCAAGGTCAATTTCATTTGTTGTCTGTTGATTTCTGCAAGTGGTACATCTCTTTCTGGCTGTGACATTGTCAATTTTGTATTTGTCTGGGTTAATGAGTCATTTAGCAAAGTCACATCTCTTTGTAACTTAGTGGAATTTACATTTGTAACCTTTACTTCTGATAAATCAATATTTGTTTGGCATGATTCTGCACTTGGTGGGACCATCTGCACCTGTGGCTGATTCACTACAACATTTTTCTGCTTGGTATCTCCTTGGAACTGGTTTAATTTTACATTCGACTGAGTTAATTGGGCATTTGCTTGAGTCATTTGTGTGAGAGGCCAAGCTAATTTAGCGTTTGCTTGGGTCACAGGAGCTTGTGGATGAATAAATAGTGCATTTGACTGAGCAATTTCTGGTTTAGCTGAGTTCATTTCCACTTTGGGTGGAATCAGTTTCACTTTGGCCTGTGTCAGCTCTACATGAGGTAAATTCATTTCTGTTTGCAGGAGAGGTAAGTCTCTATTTACTTGGGTCAATACTGCATTTGATGGGGTGACATCTGCTTGAGGACAAGTCAAATTTGCATTTGACAATGTCATATCTACTTGTGGTTGGCTTAATTTTATATTTGCTTGAGTTAAGTTTGCATGTGGCCAAATTAGTTTTCCTGCTTTACTTAATTCTGCATTAGACGAAATCACTTGCACTTGCGACTGAGTCAAGTGTGGTGTACTTGGAACAGGCATCTCGGTTGACAGCTGTGTTAGGTGTGCATTTGAAAGGATCACTTGCGTGGGAATCTGAGTCAGGTGAGCATTTGATAGAGTCACCTGGGTTGGTAGTTGTGTCAACTGTGTATTTGATAGGGTCACTTGAGTTGGCAATTGAGCCAAATGTGTATTTGAAAGAGTCAAATGGGTGGACAATTGTGGGTTTGAAAGGGCTACATGGGTAGGCAAGGCAGTCAAATGAGCATTTGCAAGTGTCACCCGTGTTGGAATTTGGGTGAGCTGTGTATTTGACAGAGCCACCTGGGTTGGTAACTGTGCCAGTTGTACATTTGAGAGATTCATCTGTGTGCTTGGCAAGGCCATCTGTGCAGGTAATTGTAATAGTTGTGCATTTGAAAGGGTCACTTGGGCTGGCAGCTGAAGTAGTTGTGCATGTGACAAAGCCATTTGTGTTGGTACTTGAGGCAACTGGGCATTTGATAATGTCACTTGCGATGGAAGTTGCTTAATTTGATTATTGGACAAAATCACTTGTGTTGGTAGCTGGGTCAAATGATCAGCATTTTGAATAAATTTGGTTGCTGTCTCTTCAGCAACCTGGGTTACCAGTTCAACTGATGATACACTAGCCTGACAGATATCACTGGCCTGAGTCATTATTACATTTGGCTTTGCCTGAACAACTTCAAATACTTTGCAAGTATCCTTTATGACATCATCCTCCACAACAACATCAGTCTTTGAAACTTCTGGGTCTTGCTTTTCAATGTGCTTATTCGACAGCATCATCATTGGTTCCTTTGATTCAACCACCATTTCACAAGGTTCAATATCAATTACAGTTTCAAATTGACGAGGCATGTCCATTTCTTCTGTTGCTAAGAGGCTTGACTGGCAATCCTCATCATAAACTTCCAAATGACATTTACTTTTATCTAAAGGACTTAAAGGAGATGTGGTACGAACAGTCAGATTCTCGTCATGTACAAGTAGGTTCTTATTTTGACATAAATTTTCAGGCAATGAAGATAAAGATAAGGAAGAACCACTTTGATTGCTCAATATAGAACCATTAACAGAACAAGTGGCTATCAAAGTGTTTTCTTCCTGACTACCGGATCTTGCTTGCTGGTTTTCTGAAACAGGCCCAGAATTCAATGGCAATACAACAGTCTGGTTTTCAGGTAACATGTTTGGTTGATTAACAGGTTCAGAAATATTTTCATCACATTTCTTACAGTGGGAACATTGTTCTAAAATCAAGTTATTATTGCATTTGGAGCATTTTTCAAGAGAAGCTAAAATGGAGGAATGCAATTCAGGACTGTCAGTTACACCCAAGTCAGATTCAAATGAGTCCTGTTTTTTTGCTGATGCTTTAATGCTTACAGAAACATCAATGTCTTTTTGAAGAGACGAGGATGATGATGATAATGATGATGATGACACTGCTAAAGTTTCTTGGCAATACTCTGTGGCTTTGTCTTCTGGCTTGACTTGTGTGGAACTTAATTCTCGCCAAGCTTTTGCAGCAGTGGAAACTTTGCTTGCTAAACATTTAGAAAAGGAATTATAATCCTCACTCATCTCATCAACAACTAAATGTTGTTTATTTTCTTTTATATCATTTCTTTTACCAGAAATATTAGCTGAACTTTCAGGCTTATTTACTGATTGTTTGAGAAATTCTATATTATTTTTATCAATTGATAGTAATTCTGACATAGAAGATTGATTTTGACATGGACTATCTGAAATAACAGTATCTTCATTGACATCACTTGACAGTGTTGACATATTTTTTGTCAGTTGTTTGTAAAGCTCAGATTCAGATATATTTTTCCACTGCTTATCTGCTGTTGATGTGAGTTTGTAAGCAAATGAAGGTTTTGATTGTTTTAATTCAGAATTTATAGAACCACCAGTCTGCACACTGCAACATGAGGAATTATTTAATTCTATAGGTTTTTTACTTCCCTTTTCACTAGTCCTGGAAATTAATAATTCCTCCAAACAGGCTTTAGCTTTTTCAGCGACTCTCACATCTGACTCTATTTTAACTTCTGTTTTAAATTCACCATTGCTATCATACACTTGTCTTGTATTTTCCTGATCATCATTGTTAATATCTTCAGAATCCTTTAACCTTTTTCTCTTTATACAAGTCCAAGAATGATTTTTCCGTCGGAATTTCCTCTTCAGTCCCTTTGGCCAGCCACCTTTGTGGACAATGTTCAAGTGTTGCTCATTGTCTGATGATTCTTTACTGAGAAAGGGTGACAATTCTTCTAGGGATTTTTCTCTTTCAAGATTAGCCATGTTCTTCTCCTTTATGAGATCTTCATGCTGCAAAGACCCTGTCCTCTCCTGTTGCTTACGTAGATTACAATTCAAGTAATGGTTACATAGACTCTTAAGATAAGTGAACTGCTTATTACAATAGTGACATCTGTGCAGAGGACGCACTGTCCGCACCGATGAGGTATGGATTCCTTCCAAAACTTTCAGGTTCTGCAGTTTATCTTTTCGAATGCAGTTTGGTGCATGCCTTTCCAATAAAGAAATTGATTTAAACTTCACGTTGCAACCTCGGCACTGTTGTTTTTCCACCACCTCAACAGACTCTCGTCTTCTGACATGGTTTTTGGGGTCATATGACAGATCATAATTACGGCGCTTGCGAGTTTTCATCATGGTTTCATGCACTGTGACAATTTTACGGTTACGGCATCCACGGAATCTTCTCCTCTGGACCTGGTTTTCCTGGAATAATGTTGGATCATATCCAGCAAAGTCCTTTAAGCGAAACTTAAATGTATTCGAACCGTTCAAGACGTCACGTAGCCTCTTCTTCAAACGCTTCTTGTACTTGTGCTTGCCAATGACATTGCTGGTTATGCCAGCCATGCTGGGAGGGTTGGTGGCACAACGAACGATGTGCGAATGCAATCGAGTCACCGTTGGGAAGGAACTTCTGCATTTGGAGCATGTGTATACTTGGAGATTCTTGCAGGCACTCAGATCAACAGTAGACTGGCTGAGAAGACCATCCCGGTCTGGAAGAGGATAATGCAAGGATACAATGCTGTTGCCCAGTTCCACCTCCAGGAAATTGCACTCTATGCTTGGGTGCCTGTGCTGCTGGTGTCGCAAACAGAGATCCAAATTGAGAAAGTGCTTGCGGCACACAGAACAAACAAAATTAATTATGCCATGTTTGCCAAATGCCACTTGGCTGTAGTCAATGAAGAAATCCTCTTGTCCCCCAAAACTGAAACTTGGAACAGATTTTTTTAAGTCTGTCAGTTTTTCACGAGGAAGAAGGCCACTTTTGAGAAAGGCTGAAATCTTATTAAAGTCCTTGTTGGTCTTTTCAACACAGTCACCTAGTCTGGAGGCTATGTCACAACTGGGGTAACTTGCAAGGTATAATTCATTGTTTATCAAACTGTCTTTATTTTCAGATGAGTTATCTTCGAATTTAATTGTGGGATTAGTTTGGGAGATGTAATCTTTAAACTCTTGTACCCGCATTTTTACAATGTGTTGGATACTAAAATCTAAGAGGTTATGGTTTTTCTTAGATTTTTTCACCAACCCATGAGACTTTAGAGAAAAAGTTTTGGAGGATTCTTCACCTTGAGGATTAGAACTGTTTTTAACCTTTGTAGAGATTTTTTTATCATCCCCAAATTCCAATACCATGTGGCCTCTCTCATGGATGTGGGCAGTCATCATATGAGGTCCACTGAAAAGAACATCTTTCTGGACACTCTTCAAAGACTTTTCACTTGGTTTGGTAGAATCAGCTGGACTGTTGCTGGGAGACAAAGAAATGTTCTTTGCATCTTGTGTCATATCTTCTAAAGATTGGGAAGACAGATTGCTATCACAACTCTTTGGATGGGCTAAAGCAATAGTGGAATTAGATTTAAGTTTATCGTCACTTAACGACAAATAATGTTTCGTATTGGATTCAAGTAAAATTTCTTTGGCTGATTCAGTTTTTATAATGGCAGAGGAAATTTTTGGACCAGTGGAACCATCAGAGCAAAACTCATGCACCAAAAAGGCACTTTGAAAGCGAACAGATCTACCAGGTTTTGATCCAGAACTACTAAATTCTTCTAAATTAGAGGAGGAACAAGATATTGGCACTCCTGGACATGATTGACCTGAAGAGGAATTTTCAATTGGTAAGTTGTCTTTCTTCAAAGAATTAGAGCTGTCAACAGATGGTCCCAAATTAGTAGCGGTAGGAACATTTGTAAGATTGGCTACAGTTGAGGGCAGCAAAAATGTGGGCACAGCCAAGGCAGAATTTTTTGTACTATTTGGAATTTGTGATGCAACAGGAAGATTAGCATTCGTAACCACTGGCAAGTTGCCAATCACTGAAGACTGATTAACTAAGGTGATATCACAGATATTTTTACAAGTGGTAGTCAGGCTGTTCTGTGACTGCAAACTGGAATTGGAAATGGATGTACCAGCAGAGGCTCCACCCAAAAGGTCAGAATTAGATGACAAAAGGCTAGATTTTTCAGAAGAGATTTTCTCAGAGTCATGAGGCTCAACATTAATGCAAGTCTGTTTATCATTAACAGAAGCAGTAACAGCCGAGATATTTGTAGTAGACTGTTTGCATTTTGAACTGGCTTCCTGGTTTAGATCAAAAGGCAGTGACGTGGTAGTAGTAAGAGAGGGTAAGCAAGGCAGATTCCCACTTGTACACGAGACAACTGGGATTTTCATTTCTTCAACAGGCATTTGAAAAGAGACAGGAAAATTGTACTGTGACCATGCAACATCTGTCTGTTTTATATAATTTGGATCATGTTCATGCACAGAGGTATAACCCTTGATTTTGACGTACTTGGTAAAATCTGACAGAGAATCTATGTTTCCATCAATAAAAGATGTCAGGTTCCGAGCAACATTTTCAGCAACATCTTTGGATTCCAGAAATGGTGCCTCAAGATCACCAGGAAGAAGTTCATCTTCAAAACCAGTTTGTTCCAGATCATAAAATCCTGCTTTCTTTTGTGCCATCAAAATTTTTCCATGAGCGGCTCGTTTGTGCTTGCACATTTGAATGTATAATCTGAATTTACGTTGACAAACAGTACACGTGTATTTGAATTGGTTTTTCTTTTTTGCAGTCTTTAAGGCTTTTAATATCAGTGCTTGAGAATCAGTACTTTTAGCACCCTCCTCTTCAACTGATTCAGTTTTGACATTTGATGAATATGATTCCTTTTGGTGATTTGCCCTCCTATTTTGGTTTGCCTTTCTTTTCATAGCACCATTGTGCATGCACACAATATGTTTGTTGAGGAATGAGGAACAGGAGAATGTCTTGCCACAAATCTGACATTTTAAGTCTTCCTCACTTGGAACATCTGCTTCTGGTTCAACTTTTACAGTCTGCTTCACAACTGGCACAGATACAATTTTGCTGCTGCTGCTGCTGGTGGTAGTGGTTGTGCTGCTGTTCTTATTATTGGTCACAGTTTTATTTTTGGTGTTGAAAATATGAATACGAATATGCTGCTTACGACTGATTTGTGTGGGGAATGTCCGGAAACAAAACTCACACTGGAATGGCCGCTCACCTGCAAAATATCAAAGTTAAAATCTCTTATTGACAAAATACAATTAGAAATATTTACATAATTTTAATTCATCTTCATATTTTTCCTAACAGTTTATATTTAATCTACTAATTGCAAACTCAAATTTTTCAAGTGATTTCATAAAACTGAGATTTTAAACTACCCAAATATAAAAACACAGACACACAAAAAGAAATGAATTTGTGTTTATATGGCTTACTTTTCAGAACAGGCTAGAAACAGGAAACTTACGGAATAAATTTGAATAAGGCCTATATCAACTACCTTTTTGACAAGAAATTATGACAATCCAATTTCATTTAGTTTCTTGAAACTGAAGAAAGGTTACATTACTTTTATAAAATATTTTGGCAATCTTTTTTTTAATATCTTTAGAAAAGTCAATGTATATAATAAATTATTATAAAGTTGTTAGCTTCATATTTTTGTTTAAATAATCTTAGTTAAAAAAAATCAAAGCAATAATGCATAGACAATGTGAATGTTTAGTACAAATCTATCCATTATATCAATTATATAAAGTAAATCTGTTCAAGTCATTGAAAAAGTTTTATTCACTTGGCAGAGTTTCAACATATATGAAAAATGTTAAAAATTCTATGTATGACAGAGTGGTAACATGCAAAGATTGAAAAATAATACACATGTATAACAAGATGCACAAGTGAAACAAGAAGCCAAGAACAGAATTATCATAACTCACCAGAATGAACAGCCTGGTGTCTTATAAAATTTTGCTTATAAGTGAATTTCATATTGCAAGTAGAACAAACCAATTGGGTTTTCACAGGTACCATTGATGCAACCGATGGGGGAGAGGTCATGTGATGGTGAGTGTGCTCCACTAAATCTTCAATGTAGTCAAACAGTTCACTGCATAAACTGCAGCGATACAGTTCAGAACGACTAACACTGTTTGATACAAATTGTGGCTTTGAAGATGCACGGTTATTGGCAGGTGAGGAACTGTTCAGTTTTGCTCTCCTCCCTGTTGGCTGACGTTTTGCCACCATATCCTGCTGCACAACATTGATCATGCAGTTTGAAATGTCAGCTTCAGAGAGATACTTACAGTTGATGTGATTCCTTAAAAAATGCCGTTTTAGGCTGAATGCATAGCGGTAAACTCCTTTGCAAACATCACATTTATATAATTTAGTGCCCTTGTTTTCAATAACATTACACTGTCGAGTTTCAAAGAAATAATAAAACTCCTCATCCTCTTCCTCTGTGTTATTGTCCTTGCATTGTTTATTTAACTGCCTTGTATTGGGCAAAGTTGTTTCTTGTTCTTTTCCACCCAATTCATCCATACACACATCAAAATTGCCTATAGGCAGTTCAGCCTTCTCTGTCTTTGGGAGTGGAGACATGCTCTCATTTGGGTTTTTGTATGATGGACTACTGCTGATATTTTCTTTCTTCACTTTTTTTAACTTAATTGTAATCGCTTCCTGTTTCTCATCATCATCATCATCAAATGTGGCTTCTCCATTTTTGTCACATTTTTTTGGACGAACTCTTTTCTTGGAAATTTTTTCACATAGAGTCTCTGTAGAGAAAAAAATTATTAATTAGCAAGTTTAACCATTTTTAGTTTGTTAAATGCATTCATTTTTGGACAAATTAAATTCACATTTGACACTTCTCAAATTTTTTATGGATCCAAAGATGAATTGATAAAATTCTTAAGAAATTAAAGAATAAAAACTGAGTCTTCATCATCATAACCATGTGTGGTCATATGGTCACTGCACAGCTTAACACCTGATCAATTCCCTCCACATAACTGGGTTGAAAGTTAGAGAGGTGTTAATTCATGCACAGTGTGTCTTGGGCAAATAGATCTGACAGTGCTCATCTCTCTTGAAATCAAACTTGTCCTCCAACTTAAAGGTTTGCCTTAGTCCTAGATATATGGCTGTGGATTCCATTAGGGGAACCACTTTAATCTGGTAAGGCCTTTGTCTAGCAGTGTTATGTCATCAACACACTGGCTACATACATATCAACAGAATCCAGTCTACCCCACTGTGCAAGATGGCAGTTGACCTTGCAAAAAGTTCACTTGCCTTTTGACAGGTCTTGTTTTTAATCCTGTTAGATGTCTAACCACCCTCCTCACCAAAAAAGCCTTGTGAAGGAGCCAGTTTAGTTGCTGATGACCAGATTATGTAGCAAGTAGTACTGGGTTACAGAGTATCAGTAGGACTTGTAGATTAATCTGACAAGACTGATTAATAAACTTATTTGTATGACAAATTATCATTTTGTAAGATAAGCAGAAATAAAGATCAAAGCAAATAAGCAAATTCCACTTTAACATTTAAGAAACATAGCCAAATTATATTTTATTAGCTTCTTTGCTCCAGACCAAATTTAATCAGTGAAAAAAATAAAAACCCTCATAACATGGATAAAGTGAATCTTTATAGTGATGATGAACTAATGTACATTACAATAGAATAGCTATAATAAATTGAATAGCAGTGAGCCAAATATTTTGTTTGTTTCCAAAAATTATCTTACCTTCTGCTTCCATTTGTTGATTTCTGCGTTCAGCATGGCCTAAGTAGGTAAGCAATTCTTCATTTGGACCAATATCCTACATGAAAAAGGAGAGAAGAAAAAAATCAGTTTTTGCATAGAATTAAAACAATGGAAAGGCAATGATAGAAATAGTTTTAATAAACTTTCAAATATTCTGAGTTGTTTGTAATGCCCCCTCCCCACCAAAAAGTTAAGAAAAAACTAGAAATTTAGTACTGAGAGCACTGCCAATACTTTCATATAGCCCATATTTACTTCCCTTTAACCAAAACTTAAAATATATCTGTCCATTTATTTTCAATAAATTCAATATTGTTTGAAAGTAGAATCAATATTTTGGCATATAGAAACAAAATCTATAATGAATCAAGTGATTTTATACATGCAACAAGAAAGCAATGCACATTTGAGTGCTGAAAAAAAAAAGCTTTGTTTTTTTTTTCTTATCCATTTCAAATAAATGCCCCAAATGTAATCTATTCAAAATAATCGCTTTTGATTGTGCTGTCATTCTCTAGAAAGAAAAGGATCTATATATATGTTAGGAGAAAAAGAAATAAAAATAAAATTAAACAGTAGATTAATAAAAAGTCACATTCCACATGGGCCAAACTCCATGCACCCAAATCTATATGCATCAGATGATTCTCAAACTCAGCTAACAGGTCACTAGTTAAAAACAAAACACACTTATCAAAAAACAAGAACGTATATATATCTCCTCAAGATGCCCAAACAAAATTTATATGAGCTGTCAAGCTCTATGAAAGAAAGCTTGTCCAGGTTACTCATTTCACCCAACAGATGGCACATGTGACACGTGTATTTTGTTTGGCAAATTAAAACATTATCTTCTTCACTACATATTTATAGTGAAGAAATTACTTGAGAACAATATTATAAATGAAAGATATTTAACATATTTAAATGAAGCACTGAAAATCATCTGTATCAGCTTGGCTATGTTGATAAATTTGATATGTCTTCCACATCAGTGGAGTAGTGGACTGAATTTCCATATGTGATTCACTGCTTAAATGAGAACATAAGAAATTATGGATCAAGCTGAATGAATCATCATGACCTATACTAAAAGACATGTCTTCATTTAAAGAATGTGATTCAGTGAATATAGTGAGATTGGGAAGAGAAACAAATGACTAAATTTAATGTCACTAGTGCCTCCCTTCAGGTGTTCCACTTTCAGTTACCAACATCTAAGTTTTTATATTTGTCCTTTACCACATCTATGTTTGTCTAAAATTGGTATTTCTGGAGTGCTGTTTTGTGTAACTTAGGCATTACTTTGGGTTTTTTTAATTTTTATAATTTTATCATTAGTCTGCCTACGACAGGGAGATAATGGTAATCACAACTTGAGTATGTTTTAGATTATAGAGTGGTTTTGCATTTCCTTCTCTATATTGACTTCATTGAGACACTACCTTGAACTATTGACTACTTTTGAGTTCATACTACAGTGTGGCTGACTACTCTTTGCACCCATTTTGAAGGGGAGGAAGCTGGTTTGGTCATCAACGTTCTGACAAAAAGAAAAAAGATAAATAAATAAAATAGGGGATACTTATTCACATTGCTATTCAACTATGTTCAGACACTTACCTATATGTGGCAGGAGATAGGTGGATTGGTACACTGAATAGTTCAAGTGAGGGTTTCTGTTGGTGTGGATCTTACCACAGACTATTTGGTGAAAGGAGAGGTTTCATACTTTGGTTCACTTACTGAGGGTTGACTAAAAATTTTGTTTTATATATAAAGTTTTATCTTGGTTAAACCTTCTTTGCGTTTTTGTGTCTCTTATTTACAATCTCCCATCACTAAAATCTTTATTTTTTTTAAAACCATAACCTATTTAGAGACACCAAGTATGTATGTTAATGTAGAAACTATCCTGAGAACAGAACATTAGGATGCTTTTTCCTAGGTTCTATCTTGCACTTTAAAAAAAACGTGGAAGTCGGAAACAGTTCTTAAGTGAATGTTATTGGATGTTGTCCAAGATTCTTCAGTCTAGTGATCTTTCATGGTCTAGAAATACACATGATAATATAGTAGAGGAGAGATCACCTTGAATTTGCTTTGTGAGTGGTTTAACTTGTCAGCTGAGGAGCTTTGTTCAATATGGTATTGAGTATTAGGCAAAGATTACTTCAGTTTTCTCTCACCTGGTAGTTGTAATTGGTTTGGCATACACTGCTTCTCAAAAGTACAAGCTTGAAAGTGTATATGGCATACATACTCTATTATAATTTTTCTATGAATGTGACAACATATTACCTGCACATGATTGAAGGATATCTTTTCCTAAAGATAATTTTATCTCTTACTTCAAGCATCAGCTTAAAGTAAAAATTAAATGTGATAGAAAAACATTGGCTCCAATATATTTCAGCAAAAGTGGGTGAATGAAGCAAGCTTGTGAAGAATCGACTCCCACCTCACCAATCAATTAGCTTTTCTAGTAGCAATGTGTTACAAGGAGAATCTCCTCTGGAACTTGACTTTTGTTAGAATAGTTAACATGTTCTCTACAGTGAATTATGCCTCCAACCAATTCTTAATTTTTAGATCTTTTTCAACATCCCACAACCCTAACTTTTGTCTCCTCCACATTATTTTTATCTATATACATCTCATATAGCTCATAATTCATGTACATATATCAAGTTTTTAGTATATCTTGTGTAGAGTAAATGTGGGATTATAGTGGATGATGTTTAAAAGGGAAATCAATTTTTGGTGAAAGGAAAAATATGAGTTATGAATGAAACTAGTTTCTAACCTTATGCCAAATCACACACACACAATTTTCTAAAGAAATAAGTTTTCCTCTTTCCTTAGAAGCCTGAAGGCCAGAAAATGGATCATCAAAAACATGGTAACAACACTCACAAACACTAAAGAGTTCAAATGTCCAAACAAAATTTTAATGACTTCAATTTCCTAAAAGACTGCAAAAAGAACCTAGAACAGTTCTTTAAATCTCAAAATGATAAAAACATGTAAGAGGATTTAAAAAATAGTTTGAAAGATTGCATAAAATGTGTGACAAAATGGTAAATGTTAATTGGTTAATGCTGGAAAAAATAAATTTTTACTTTAATAAACTGGGCAGATTTTTTGACTACCTATTTTCTTTACAGAAACATAAAAAAATTATTTTTTTTATTAAATTTACATTTCCCTGCTAAGAACTTTTGTAAAAAATATAAAATTTTCTTGTGTGAATATCTCACTCAAATTTGCATTTAGCTTCATCACACTCACTCAGAATGACAAAAAAATAAAAAAAGTGTTCAAATTTTAATTAAGTATTTAATTAATAGAAGTTACTATTTTTCCTGCTAGTAAAACTTCCACAATGCATAAATAAGAGGAAAAATCATTTTTACTAGTCAAAAACAAATACAAATAAAAACAAAAATCAATGTTGAGTTAAATGTACTTGTAAATAGCAAAAATCAATATTGCATTGCATTTGGTCATGCAATAACATGAAAAAAATTTAAACCTGCATAAGTTTGGATTTCCTAGACAAAGGAATCTGACAGGTGTTCAGATTAAAAAGGAATTGAAATCCTTTTTAATAGAGTTAGCACTTGCAAACATTTTATTTATTCACTTCAGTCTTCTATTTAAACCAGAAAGATCTATTCATAATTGATTGAGAAAAATTGTCTGAACTTTTTCAACATCAACAAAATAAGACTAACTTCAAACCTAAGGAAGAATAACAAAAATATTAATTTTTCATCATCACAAAAGGAAATTTATAATCAATTTTCATAATTTACCTTTATGGCTTTATAAAAAGTTTGTGCGCCTACTTGGGTAGATATCATATTCTGTTCTTCAAAGAATCTTGCATTACGGATGTAACGCATCCAACTTGCACTTACTGCATCTGTCCCATTCACAACTTGCAGAAGTTCATTTGTACAAGCATCATAGACCTAAAAGAGACAAATCATTAACAATTTTGGTTAGAGTTGAAACATCTAAGAATTAAGCAAACTGCAACTGGCAAAGCACAATAATCTTTCTTTTTGCAAAATATTATTTAACATTCCCTCACCCAAAATTGCAAAAATTAAAAATTAAAAAAGTTAAATGTATGAAGCATTTCTACATTTCATTATATTTTAAAATGTGAGATGATGAAAATACACAAGAACAAAAATTGAAAAATTGTTTTAAATACAGAGTTTATAATTCATAGAAACAAATTAAAATTAAAAAGTATTTTATTATCTACATGTGACAATTGGGTTCAGATTAAACAAAAGCAAAACAAATTCAATCAGGACAGAAATAAACAGTAAAATTTGAACAAAATGTAAAAGAAATTTCCCAAGAGAACAACTTTAAAAAATATTTATAGAATTAACATGATCAGATAATGTTCCTTTATCTGAACATGTTAACTCGATGTTTTAAAAAATTGTTCTCTTGGGAAATTTCTTTTATATTTTGTTCAAATTTTACTGTTTATTTCTGTCCTGATTAAATTTGTTTTGCTTAATCTGAATCCAATTCTCACATGTTTTTTAGATTACAAAGAAAAACATTTAAAAAGACAGTCAAAATAAACTTCCATAAAAGAATTTCTTAAATTCTATTAATTTCTAAAAGTTTGAATACTACCATTTATATACCCAAATATTTTTAATTCAACCATTATGATACTACAATCAGACATACTTTGTCTTATGAACCATTTTTGTTCATCTTTAATGTGGAAGCTGAAAAGAGACCTAAACAATGTAAGACATAAAAATCAATCAAAAATAACTTCCATCTTACAAAATGCATTGCACTCAATTATTTTTTTAAAATATGATGTCCCTTCTAGATGATAGGTGACCATGGCTCTCCACATTCTCCTTTTCTTCTGTGAATTACTGTGACTTCTTAAAAGAGATAATGGAGTATTTCCTGCAACTATTTCCATTGTTTTAAATTCAGAGTTGTCTTTCTCCTATACTCAAGACTAGAGAGCTCAGTCTACCATAACCCATAACTGGGGGGAAAAGATGGATTGATGACTTCCCCCTAAACATTAATGTGAAAGCAAACAACAGACTAGAATCTTGCTCACAAACTATATTCTGTACTGATAACCATTATACTACCTGCACATCCAAGAAACTATAGTTTTACTTAAATAGAATCCTCCATTTTTCTTAAAAGAAATAAAAATTAAAAAAATAATAAATTAATTATGATTGTGCTGAGACAGATGGGTTTGTTTTTACAATTTTGGGGGGTTATTTAACATATTAAAACATTTTGTATTGTAAGAATTCCTTTTCTGCATATAATGATTTATTCAAATACAAGTCTTTTAACCCATACCTGGAGGAAGAAGGGATAGAATCATACCTTTCCCCATGGTATTTGTATAAATGAGTGTAATGAACTTGACTGGAATTTGAACTCAGCTCTCCAATTTCATTCCAAGGCACTATCCATTTCACCACCCACATATCCACAACTGTGTTAGGAAAATTTTCAGCAATTTTACAAAACAAGAACTTTTTCATGAACCATTAAATAAACTTGGCTGACAGATTAAGCAACTGAGATGAAGAGTGGCCTTAATATTAGTTCAAATAAGTAAAAGATATACTACAGTTTATGGTTGCTTTTCTTTGTAATTACATTACTGTAAATGTGATAAATAAGCACCTTTTAACAACATCATGTTTTTTTTTTTAACTTACCATATAACTAAAATTAACATTTTCTATAGATCTGGCAATTGAACCTGGGAGGTTGGGGGAAGAGTTATAAAATAGTTACATGTCATGTAATGGGAAAATAACCCAAGAACATAGATATTAATAAAAACATTTTGTTCAGATGTTTTCATTGAGTTCTATAGTTTTCACCTACTCTAAACTGTTTCCACTGTTTAATTAATATCACAAAGTGGCTAATAATTTCAGGAGAAATATTAGAAAGCAATCTGCTTGGTTGGTTGGGTTTTATGGCATATCAACCACTGTAGGGCATTTAATGCCAAATTTAGTTTGAGATATATATATATATATATATATATATATATATATAGTACTTGCAACGTCTATAAGCTATATAAGTTAGAGCTTATTTGCTTGCACACTGCAAAATAATTACAGGTATTACTATCTGGGACAAGGATTTCCATTTGTAATAGACAATTTGCACAATGTTACAAGGTAGCATATATTAATTACACATATTATATTCTCGACAGAAGACCAATTCTTTTAAGAAAGTTTATTATATGACTTGGATCAATTTTTGTAAATAGTTCCTTTGTACTCTTAATGTTGTAGAACTTTCTTCGAATGTGTGTAAGGTTTGTGCATTCTATCAGTATATGTTTTACTGTGTATTGGTTTCCAGAGGGACAGTTGGGAGAAGGCTCCCCTTCTAGTATGAAGGAGTGAGTCAGTCTAGTGTGTCCAATGTGTAGCCGAGTAAGGGTGGTTTCTTCTCTTCTTGTATTATCAAGATTCAGTTTCCTTTCTTTTAAAATGGGTTTTATTTGGTAGAGCTTATTGTGGGTATTTTTGTCCCATAATTGTTGCCATTTTTTAATCATATTTTCTTGATTTTGTGTTTTAGGTCCGTATATGGGATTTTTTATGTCTTATGGAGTTGATTTTGTTTAAAAGTTTGACAATTAAATGGTTATCCAGTTTTGTATTTTTTATAGATTGTAGGTCAGAGATGGAGTCAGTATGGATGATGAATTTTTTTTAAGTTGCTTGCGCAAACAATCTTAAGTGCTAGTTTTATTGCATAGATTTCTGCAGTAAATATGAAGGCTTCTTTTGGGAGGAATTTTTTCATCATTTCCTTATTGAAAACTGCTCCACATCCGGTTCTATTGCTGTCTTTGGAGCTGTCTGTGTAAATGTGCGAGAAGTTTGGGTATTTTCTCTGAATATTGGAGAGTTTTTCTTGGTAGGTTAATGGGTGGGTTTTATTTTTTGGGAGTTTGTTTAAATCAAAAATAATTACAGGCTGCTTAAGTAGCTAGGGTGGTAAGCTTAATTGAACAGTATCATGGATGTTTGTGATTGGAATATCCATGTCTTCTACTATGGGTTTCATACGGAGACCAAAAGGTTTTATGGCCTTTACTTTTTGATCAAATAGTTTTTGGTGTCTGGGGTTGAAAATGCAGTTATAGGCTGGATTGGTTGGTTGCGATTTAATTTTACTGTAGTACTGCAGACCTAATTTTTGGAATCTAAGTTTTAGTGGTGGTTCGTAGGATTCAGAATAAAGGCTCTCCACTAGGGATGTGCGAAATGCCCCTAAAACAAGTCTTAATCCTTCATGGTGTACTGTATTTAGTGTTTTCAGGTAAGATTTTCTGGTTGCCCCATATATGTAGCAGCCATAATCCATTTTTGATCGGATTAATGATCTATATAGTTTTAATAGGGTTTGTTGATCCCAATCTTTATGAGCTATTACACGAAATAGTTTTAGGGTTTTGTTACATTTCTCTTTCAGATATTGTATATGTGAAATAAAAGTTAGTTTTTTGCCAAAAATAACTCCTAGGAATTTATACTGGTCAACTACTGGAATTTCTGTTCTGTCTAGCTTCAGTGTTGGGTTGTTATGCATTTTCCTTAATTGACAAAAATGCATGCATTGTGTTTTTGTTTTAGAGATCTTGAAGCCGTTAATGATAGCCCATTTGTTTATTTTGTTGATGCTCTGTTGTAGTTGACGCTCTGCTGTTCACATGTATCTGGATGTGGAGGTGATACAGAAGTCATCAACATACAAATAGTTATCAACTCCAGTATTCAGGCAATTGGTAATGCTATTAATTTTGATGTTGAAGAGGGTTACCAACAGCATACTTCCCTGAGGGACACCCTCTTCTTGATTTTGAGTGTCTGACAGGGTAGAACCAAGTCGGACTCGGAATTTCCTGTCTGAAAGAAAAGATTTTATGAAGTTTGATAGTCTGCCTTTCAATCCTATGTCAGGTATGTCTTTCATGATCCCATACCTCCAAGTGGTCTCGTATGCTTTTCCAGACCAAAAAAATGGCTAGAAGGTGTTGCTTTTGTACATTTGCCTCCCTTATGGAGGTTTCCAACCTGGCCACATGATCCATTGTAGATCTTTGGTTTCTGAAGCCGCATTGGGAGTTGAAGTGATTATTCGATTCAATCACCATACGTTTCATAGTTTTGCACAGGCAGCTGGTCAGTGCTATTGGACAATAATTTGTTGGATAGAGATTGCTTTTCCCTGGCTTATGTAAGGGGATGATGGTGGATAGTTTCCATGATTCTGAGATATTACTATTTTCCCAGATGTAATTAAATTTATTTAATAGGTAGTCTAACGATTTTGGAGGTACTTGCTTAAGAAATTTGTAATGAATTTCACCTGGGCCAACTGCAGCGTTGTGAGATTTTTGCATGGCTTGTTCTAATTCTGGTAAGGTGAAGAATCCATTATAGTTTTCAGTGTTGTCTGAATTGAAATTTAGCTTTGTTGTGATATACTTATAATTCTTTGTATTCATTCAGTTAATTATTTAATACCTTCTACTTATCTGCATACGAACTGTTGCGTGATTTCATGTTGGTTCACATCACGTGATTTTGTGTTTATAAATAACGGTGGGACGCCTCTATCTTTCTCTCTCTGGTGTCCGTTCGTTCATATCTTCTATGTAACTGGTAACAGTGTATGCTTTTTGTGTTGAATAAAACCTTAATATTCAACTCTCTAAAAAGGTCTCTTTTCATCACATTTATTCAATGTAGCGGAGACAACCGCTGATGAATGGAATCACTGGTATCGTACCCTTGTCAATTGCATCGACTCTCTGACAGTAGCTCACCCTGACAACCCTCCTAACAAGCTCAGCATATTAATTAATTATATATCACCTAGAGTCTATTCCTTGATATCAAACTGCATGACA